CTGTTCGTGGGCTGTGGCTCTTTTAGTGACTTTTCTCGCGAGTGTATCTTATTGTGTTTTGGAAGAAACGAATATGCGAAACGATAGAAAAGAGGAAAGGAAAAAGTGGTAAGCGCGCGTCGATTAGAATATGTTCAGTGTATCTCGTGTCGTGTAAACTGCGTTTTATATTTGTCCATCTCTGTCTCTGCTCCAACACTTGATTGTGTTGTATTTTGTGATATATCATTCGTTTTAATTTATATATATATATATATATAAAATTTTTCCTATTTCGTTATTTGAGATATGTGTTAGAAAAAATGTCACATCACATTTATCAGTGAAATAATATTTCAAAATTAACAGTTTTCAAAAACTCGATATCTTGGTTATATCAGTGAAATTTCGAATTCATTATGGCGCAATTTCAATGAAATCTCATTTTGATTAAATCAACGATCTCATGCACGCCGGTGACAGTCAAGTGTCGAACATATATGCGCGTGGTTAATTCGAAATAGTGAGGAAGAAGAAAGGGTGCTGGTGAGAGTGAGATTTATAAGATGCATACATGTGAACGTAACGAATATGGAGGAAGAGAGAGAGATAATAAAAAGAGATGAATGAAGAAGATCGGAGTGTAGGAAAAGAGAGAGAAAGAGAGGGAGAGAATTGGGTGGCACGCACGTAGTGAAAAAGTGAGATGGAAAACGATGAAAGAGAAGGAAAGAATGTATGCATGTATGTGTGAAAGAGTGAAAGGGGTTAGAGAAAGAGATAAACGAAGGACGGCGCCATACTGGCTCTCCGGTAGTTTCGTGGCATGTTAGGCAATCTTTCTTTCTTTCTCACTCACATTCTTGATTCAGTTTACAAGTCGTCGATCGTTCGTTATATCGCATGGAAACCTCTGATCGATCGCAAATGGTTTTTAGGTACGTACAACGATAGGCTGTCTTTGTGCCGGAACTGAGCAGACACCTCTCCCTTTCGGATCGACGGACCTGTTTTCCACTTCATGACGGTGAAAGAAGAATCAGTGGTGGTGTCACGACGACGTTAGAACCACTTCGCTGGCCGCGTATATAAACCCGTGGAAGACTCAACTACATACGGAGGAATCGAACAGGCGCGCACGATGATTCTGCGCGTCTGAGAATACCGAATACACAAGAGAGAGGGAGCAAGATAGATAGATGGATAGATAGGTAGATAGATAGATAGAGATAGATAGGACAGATAAAACGTGTGGAAAGAAATACACGACGAATTAAGAATTTGCGTATATATTTGTGTTTATCGCGTTCGGTGGTGGATAAAGAAACGAGTGATAACTGGCAATCTACGATAAAAAGTGAAAAAAGAAATACTTAAAAGAATCTAATTGAAAGGAACACGAACGATGTTATTGTTTTATGTTATGCGTTTCTTCGATTCCTGATGATCAGTGCTTGCTCTTAGTGTAACCGATTAACAGATTCTCGCGAGTGTCTATCGATTAAATCGTCGATAGAAAATCAGAGAAGGAAGTGATAAAATTTTTTTGAAAAAAAAGAAGAGAATTAGAAAAAAAGAACGAGTGAAACGTAAAAAAAGAAAGCTATATAACAAAGAAGAGAAAATCCAAAGAAAATAAAGAAAAAAAACAGAAGAGAATAGAAAATTGGTGACGATTGTGAGTGGTCAATCCGTGGTGTGTGACGAGAAAGTGTGTGCTCTAAACGGAGCACGTTACAAAGGAATAGAATATCGAGGACGGGGGGTCCAGAGCGACATTGGGGGGGCGTGTGAGACTGATTTTGCCCCCCCTACCCCCTGTCTATCGTCTAAAACTGTGACTTCATCGTCGTTAAGTCAATTTTTCGTCGACGTTACAACGTACAGACGTTGCCGTTTAGGTGAGTCACATTCCATGAATTTTTTTTCTTTCGCGCCTGTATACGTATATCTACAATTTCGTCATATTTTTTTTCTTCTTTGCGTCTCATTGATATTTATTTCTTTTTTTATTCAAATGTAAATCATTTATATTTACAAAACGAAACGAAATGCAGCATTGAGAGATTGTGAAAGAAATGAATTCTCGGATCTGGAGGGTGGGAGGAATAGGCTTTTTGTCTTCTGAGGTCGGGTGAACATTATGATAACGTACAATGTCGCGTCGGAATTCATTGTACGCTTAGTAACAGGCTGCGTTCACTTCCTGGCCTGCTCTCTCGTTCACGTGGAGTAAGAAACAAACAGGCTCGAGTAGAGAATAGTTCTTCTTTAAGTGTTTTGTCTGTACCCCCCTATTCTCTTTGTTTTCGTTCATCCGCCCTCCGTCGTGTACCGGTCGTGTACAATCCAGAGATCTTGCAGATTTTGTTCCTGGTTGGAAAAAAGAAAAATTCGACATTTATTCGCTACCGAAATACTATTAGCTTCAATTTCATTATGTATACGTTGTACGATGTTATCCATGATATGTTCGATCTCTGTTCCAAAATTGTGAACAAGAACTCGTTGACTCTGTTAATTATATTGCGATCCTTTTAGAATAATATATTTATTTCTTTTTGTTCTATATCTATTTTTTTTTTTTTTTTT